GTTTGTGAGCTTAGGGTTTCTGGGCTTGCCTCGGAACACGTTCAGAAGCTCTATGGTCGAACCCCTATACCACCATCTATAACTTCTCCCGCCTCCCAACCCCTAATATGCCTAGGTTAAGGAATATACTCCCGACTCCTAAGTCATCACATGGAGCACGCTCCTTGATTTATGCAAATTTCCTTCTTTGAGGTGCATTGGCTCTCTGGGCACAGAAAGGATCATTTGAGAGTCACTAGGGCTGTAAGGCTTTGGGCCTCATTGTTGATTAGGGCCCCTGAATGAGGTAGTCCCCTGCCCCCCGCCCCCCCTCCCCGCCCCGCGCCCAGAAGGGACCCTTAACCTTATTCCCCTATGATAACCCCTTACCTTATATAGTCCCTAATATAGCTAAACCCTAGACCCTAAACCCTACAAGCTAAGTAGCCGCTACATTACCCCGAAGGTCCCCTTTTCAAGGTCCCTCCTTTAGTCCGTTGAGGATTGCTTTCAGGCCTCGTCGGTGGAAAAGCAAGTCCTATAAGCCCTAAACTCCTGCGTGGCCGCCTTGATTGAGAGCATCTCTCCTAATAGGTCAGGGTTTAGGGTTTATGGTTTAGGGTTTAGGTTTAGGCTGAAAAAAAGGGTAATAGTACATGACGACGGCCACATGCTTGCAAATTAAACTCCGACAGACGCCTGAGTCGCCAGAGTCGGAGCCATCAAGCCTTTGCTGAATAGCCCAACCCCTAAACCCTAAACCCTAAACCCTAAACCCTAAACCCTAAACCCTAAACCCTAAACCCTAAACCCCAAACCTGCATAAACCTGCAGTACGACCGGTCCATCAACGACGCAAAGAAACCGGGGCCGCAGCCACCCGACCTGGGCCTTCTCCAGAGGCACAAACTGGGGTTTAGGGTTCAGGGGTTTAAACAGCTCTTTCCCACTTACCCGGCTGACTGCAAGAGACCTGGATGCAAAAAGGGAATGTGTCGCTTTATCTAAGCTCTCGAAGTTCTAGTGTAGGGCACCCCCTAATCCACTCCAGCAATAGGGTTTGGAGTTTCGGGGGGGGGAGGACAAAACGTCACGTGTCGGGCAGGTGTGTGGTAGAATCAAAAGGTTTGGAAGGCCTCCCTGGCTGCTAAACCCTAAACCCTAAACCCTAAACCCTTAACCCTTAACCCTTGTGTGTCGGGGGCTCTGTATGAGCAGGGACTACCTCGAAAACGCGGTGGCCACCCTGGACACCAGCGGTTCGAGACAGAAAGTCGAAGGTTCAGGCTCGGTCCTTCTTGGTGGCCCAACGGTACCCCTAAACCCTAAACCCTAAACCCTAAACCCTAAACCCTAAGCCCTAAACCCTAAACCCTAAACCCTAAACCCTAAACCCTAAGCCCTAAGCCCTAAGCCCTAAGCCCTAAGCCCTAAGCCCTAAGCCCTAAGCCCTAAGCCCTAAACCCTAAACCCTAAACCCTAAACCTAAGCCCTAAGCCCTAAGCCCTAAGCCCTAAGCCCTCAGCCCTGAACCCTGAACCCTGAACCCTGAACCCTGAACCCTGAACCCTGAACCCTGAACCCTGAACCCTGAACCCTAACCCTGAACCCTGAACCCTGAACCCTGAACCCTGAACCCTGAACCCTGAACCCTTCTCCTTCTTTTTGTCTCAATTCGCAGGTTCCCTTCTAATGGAAGCAACCCCCAAAAAGGGACCAAGCCTCAGTCAGGTCCCAGGGACTCCAATACCCCTTCATTAAGGGATATTCCTTAAGATATAAGAGGGTTTAGGGTTTAGGGTTTAGGATTTGGGGTTTAGGGTTTAGGGTTTAGGGTTTACGTGCAGTCAGTGGTACTGCTCCTTTGTTCGTTCGCTGTGCATTGAGAGCCGCAACTTCCATCCCCCGGCCGACTGCCCAAGCCCAAGCCCGGATGCAAAAGGGTTTAGGTTTTAGGGTTTAGGGTTTAGGGTTTAGGGATATTCTAGTCCATGTACCCATGTGGTATACACATTGGGCCCTAAATTACTACTATATAGGGACCCCCTATAAGGCCCAAGTATCTTCTACGCGGGTACGTGGACCTTTAGTGTCCAGGGACCCCAATACCCCTTGATTAAGGAATATGTCCTTAAATTATAAGAGGGTTCCATATATGGGTGGTTGTCGAAATTATGGTCCCTTTCTGGATCCCTATCATAAGATGGCACGAAATATTTTAGGTTACCCCAAAAGGGATCAGAATTTTGGCAACCACCCATGTGGGTCAAGGAATGATCCTGAATTGAGGGGGTGTTGGAGTCTCTGGGTTCTTGGCAGCCCAATGGTACCCCCTTTTTCCTTTTTTTGGTTCAAGGTTGCCTTTCTCCGTAACTGAGTAGATGGCCTTTAGTGTTTGGGGTATATACACTCCTACCATAATTATGAAAGGTTAACCTTTTCTGCGCCAGGGTACTCAACAACTAGGCTTATAAAGTAACCAACCCTAAAAGGGGTACCCCTAAACCCGAACCCTAAATCCTAAATCCTAAATCCTAAACCCTAACCCTAAACCCTTCTTAGAACATGGTTGCTGCGCAACCAGGCATTTGGGAGTTGGGCTTCCTTCGCGGACCAAGCGAGCCCTTAACACCCCTTCGCTGAGGGCTAGACCCTCAACCCTAAACCCTAAACCCTGAACCCTGAAACCTAAAGCCTAAACCGTAATCCCTGAACCCTGAAACCTAAACCCTAAACCGTAATCCCTGAACCCTGAACCCTGAAACCTAAACCCTGAAACCTCAACCTCAAACCATACCGGGCCCCTGCTGATCATTTAAGGTATGTATCTCTGAAATCAGGGGGTTTTAAGGGCTCTTTGGGGAACCACTTTGGGTTGATAGGGTTTAGGGTTTAGGGTTGAAGCCCAAGCATGTTTGGTTCCAGTCAGACTATGGGCCCCAAGATTAGGAAAGGAATAGAAACTCCCCACATGGAGGGTATGACGAAACCCGAAACCCTAAAGCCACCTGTAGACGCACTCCCTGTATCACTCGACCCTAGATCCCGAAGTCGGTGCACAGGCCATTATTGTGGGTAGTTTTTGGATCTTGGTCGTGTTTGGGGTTTAGAAAACAGCTATACATCAAGGGAGAGAGACTCGTACCCCCAAGGCTGTACCCCCAAAGGTTGTACCCCTGAATATGCTCCATTTATGGCCCTTATACTGTAACACCCTAAACCCTAAACCCTAAACCCTAAACCCTAAACCCTAAACCCTTATTCTTAAAAAGGGTACCACCTTAGGGGTCCAAGGTAGAGTCCCGTGATAGCTGTGAATGCCTGCCTACACAAGCTACACAGCTGCGGTTCTCGAAGTCATGGTTACGGTGGGTTTAGGGTTTAGGGATTAGGGTTTAGGGTTTAGGGTTTGGTGTTTAGGGGTTCCGAACAGAATTTAGTCATGACTAGTATGTAACGCGGCGCCTTATATTTGTTGTGCCCAGAAGGGTTTGGGAGACCATTATTTAGCTTCTCTTTTGCTGAAGAACCCCCCCCCCCCCCCCACAAAGACATATTCTTCCTTGCAGGGCAATATATGGGATTACTCATTTTTGTTTTTTGCGCTTGGGGGGGGGGGTTCATTAGCAAATAGTAAGGTTTGCAGCTCGGGCGCGAATCTAAGGCCTCCCTTTCTAAACCCTAAACCCTAAACCCTCGGCTCGAAGCCCCTCGCACCCCAACTTGGCACGCCTGGAGGCATCCTAAAAGAGTGTGGCCCGCCAGCGCGCCTCTGGTAGCAAGAGAGCACAGTATCGTTTGGGGGGGGGGGGGGACCGCCTTAGAAGAGTGAGCTTTAACGAGGCCACAATTCAGAGAAGTGACCATGCCGTTATTATAGGGGTTTAGGTTTCTGGGCGTTATGTTTCATTTTGTTCAGATACAGCCGAAGGGCATACTCGACGTGTTGTTTTCATTGTTTATAGGGTTTAGGGCTTAGGGTCTAGGGGTTTCAAGGGACTAAAGGAGCCTTATAGCACGGGAAAGGGTTTAGGGTTTAGGGTTTAGGGTTTAGGGTTTAGGGTTTAGGGTTTAGGGTTTACGGTAAGAGCCCACGACCCGGGAGAGATGGGAGCATGTAGCAACGTAGTGATCTAGTGTATCAGCGGGGAAGCAAATAGCAAGTATATCAAGCTAAACAGTTGAGGCAGTTAAGGTAAGTAAAGTGTGTAAACCAAGTAAGGTGTGTTTTTTAGAGAAAAGGGTTTACGGTTTATAGGGTTTATCGGATGTACCGGGTGAAGGGTTTCGGCATGCTGCTCCACGTGACATGGGCAGTCCTTTAGGAACTGCTTCTCCACGACAGTCACGGAGTATGTGGACACCGGCTTGCACGACTTGAAGCCGTGGCGTCTTGAGCCCAGGATTTTGAGGGCCCGTTCCAGTTCGAGCTAGGTAGGCTCTTGGTATAGGCTTCCTTGTTGCCTTGTTGGGTTTAAGAGGATCTCATCCAGGAATACATCCCCGAGCCACAGAGTTTCTAGCTACAGGTCCAGTTAGTTAACGCCCGGACGTTACAGAGCCTTGCGGAGTATAGCGGCACAAGTGCTACCCGTTTTGAAAATGAACCCTGAACCCTGAACCCTAAACCATGTAGCACTTTTCTTCAATTTCGGAGGAGGCTCAATCCTTTGGTGTCAGGAGTGTGCGGGGAAGAAACCCCTAAACCCTAAACCCTAAACCCTAAAAGCTAAACCGTTTACAGTCCTTGAAGATGCTGGGTCGAACGATCGCCCTTCCTTCGAGGTTCATGGCAAGTTCGTGGGTAGTTCTAAGTAGGGTTTAAGGGTGGTACCTCTACATCTAACCCTATCTAGGGTACTTATAGTCCTACTTACATACATAATTATCGGTGTATCTCTATCTATATATATATATATGTAGAAACATAGTCTGCGCATAACAACGAAGAATGTAAGAATGCACCAAAGCAATGGTCCCTGAGCCTTTGAGGCTTCAAAGGCAAGACCCCGGATCAAGCCATGCAGGATGCACCTGGGACTTGGATGTGGTGGGGGAGAGGGGGGGGGTTAGGGTTTGGGGTTTAGGGTTTGGGGTGTGGGGTTTTGAGGGTGTGGGGTTTGGGGTTTAGGGTTTGGGGCTTCGGTTTTCGTGTTTGGGGTTTAGGGTTTGGCGGGCGCATGCGGGCGCGGAGGGGGGGGGGGGTAGTGGGGGGGAGTGGGGGGCCGTCAAAACGGGGGGAGGGGAAGGGTTAGAGCTTGGCAAGCTTAGTTTTTTTGTTGTGTGATGTGTTGTTATCTTATTTTTCATCGCTTCACATATTCAGTTATTAGTTATATAGTTTTATTGTATATATACATATGTATTCATTTATCATGTGACATGAGATTATGATATTATATATCATCGGATATCATGTTATGTCAGATTTATGTTCAGCCTAAACCCTAAAACCCCGCGGGAGCGAAACAAAGCCTAAACCCTGTACTCTATTACTTGGAGGTTCATGGGACTTCATAACCACGTATACCTGGGCTTATAACCCTACTTATAATAGGGATAACCCCTATAAGGCCCTTTAGGGGTATTATAAGTGGGGTTATAAGTACAGTTATAATTGGTTAGTAAGTACCATGAACCTCCAAGTAGGCCTGCTCCGGGGTTTTGCACGTCAGGGCTCAGGCGAGTTGGGGACCCGGGCCTGCCGACTCCTTCACTTTGGGCGGGGTTTAGGGTTTATAGGGTTTAGGGTTTAGGGTGTAGGGTTTAGGGTTTAGGGTTTAGTGTTTAAGGCTTAGCGCCTAGGGTTTGGGGTTTAGTGTTTTTTGGAGGATCGCAGGACTTAGCGAGTAGGGACAATGTTGAGTTATCAGCTCCCTAAAAGGGATCCTACTTGGGCTTTCTACGGTTATCCGACTTGACATCCCTACTCAAGACATAGCTATGTACTAAGCCCCGCCAACCCTCCAAGTAGGGTTTAGGGTTTAGGGTTTAGGGTTTAGGGTTTAGGGTTTAGGGCTGTTGGGCTGGCTGTAGGTTGAGGGTGGGCCCTGGCTGCCCTCTTTATCGGTGCAGGGGTTTTGGGTGTCCTTGCAAGCAGAAAAGCGAGAAAGCCTGCAGTTTTGTAACCGAAGCCCAAATAGCGGTTCCTTTGCTTTCGGCTTAGTAAGTTCGCTCCGTATCCCCTCGAAACCTCATGGGAATCACCATAACCCAACGGACTCTCGTTTACTGCGGTTCCTCCTGTTGTTCTTACTAGGTCCCCAGACCTAGGATATCGTTGACATAGGCCCCGCAGGTGACATGTGAGGGGCGGATGGAATGGTCTTGCCGACAGGATTCTAGGTTTCGGGTCCGTTTCGTTCTTTCCCGAGCCGCTGTGCCTTGCTGCCACGAAAGCGCACGAAAACCAAAGCGTGCTGAAGCCTACGACCAAAGCACCCTGCATCCACAAGGCGCAGCGACTTTTTCCCATATCCCCCTTGGGAATTATTTTTAATTTTTGTGTATATAAAACCCAAGAGGATATTAAACATATTATCTTTATTCAGGTTCTATGGGGAGTATAGTTTCGGGTTTGCTGGTATGTGGTCTTTTTGTTCTGAGCCGTGGTGGAAGGTCGCAGATGTCGTGGCAGACTACCCTCCAGGCCCGGGGCGGGGCCAGTATGCCTCAGGTCCTTGAGAACCCGTTGCAAGCCTCTTTCAACCAAAAAGGGCACCCTGTTGATTCCCCGGTTGCTCTTGTGTCTCGCCGATGTAACTGCAGCCTTATATAGCCCGTTTAGGGTTTAGGGTTTAGGGTTTAGGGTTTAGGGTTTAGGGTTTAGGGTTTAGGGTTTAGGGTTTAGGTTGGGGCACCCAAGTACCCAGAAACCCCTTACTAAAGGATCATTGGGTCAAACAAGTTAGTAACTTGAGAATACCCCTGCTTATGGCTTATGCCTAGATTGAACCTGGGAGTCAAGCCGCGATGTTTTTTTTTTGTTTTTTTTTAATCGCTGCTTTGCGTTTCCTGGAACACTGGCGCAAACCATGGGGGGTTGCCCTTCCGCCCTAAACCCCAAACCCAGATGACGGAATCCTTGCCTGCTTGTGTGAGTGCGAGAGCCGAAGCCCTAAACCCTGAACCTGCCTTCTGCCAGAGTGAGAGCCGAAACCCTAAACCCAGATACAGCGTCGAGTAGTAAGCCCCAAACCCAGATGTAGGGCATCGGATTTGTCCGAATTCGAGTCCGGGGCCGGTGCTGGAATTTTTACCTCGTGGCCGGCTGGCCCGGCGTGGGTGAACACAGAATGACCTCCCATCGGCCGGCAGATTCAGACAGTGTTTCTGAAACGAAGCATGTTTGATATCGTATGTTGTTTAATTCTCATTCGGATGATTTGGATGAGATGTCCAGGTTGCTCCCCAACTGCCCCAGATCTCAAAAGACTTGGCTCAACGAATCGCCCCCGCCCCCCCCCCCCCCCCCCCCCCCACCCCGGAAAAAAAAACTAAACCCCTCCTACCCCCCAAATATCGAAAAAACCCAATATGCTATTATGTGACGATGGCGGGGGGTATTTAATATTCGGGGGTAGGGGGGGGGGGTGTAATATTAGGGGGAGGAGATTCAGGCATCCCGGTGCATCCTCGTGCAACTCCCAGCAATCTTATAAAAACCCCCGGCGCCTGTGTGGTGCTGGGGTCGGGCCCAGGTCTTATCCACGGCCTCTCCGGCACTTCCCGAAACCCTAAACCCCTAAACCCTAAACCCTAAAACCCTAAACTTTGTGATTTGGGGTTTATCTGCACAAGAGTTAGCGTACAGGCCTTGAGCTCCAGAACCCTCGGGTATCTTAAAAAACGTACTTGCCACCACAACTACAAATTCGCTATTTCTTGAGGTTCCTTCAGCTACAGTAAACACCAAAAAGTTGGAATATCCTATTCCCCATACCCCAAAAGGTTTACTAAAGGGAAACCCAGCTCTAATCGTCTTTAAACCATGTTCCAACTTTCTAGAGTTCACAGTAGTCCTTGCTGATGGTCTGAGGAATTCTTGGCTTGGCTCTCAGGGGCCTGGAGAGCCAAACCCTAAATTCCCGAGACCCTTTTCCTTTCCTTTTCTCTCTTCCCCCTTCCAAGTTATTTCAACAGCAGTTGCCTTCATTGCATAACCCAATCCAGGTAAAGCTTCACTTGTTTTTTTGTTTGAAAGCTTCACTTGGATCATCTTTATCTGTGCCGCGATCTTCTTTCATGATGATTTTTGACATGCTTCAATTGCTTCAATATTGCGTTGATGTTTACATTTGGTATCATATGTGGATGCATGGATGCATGCATATTCACATATATATATATATATATATGGCACACATCTTTCTGCCGGTCCACCTGTCTCTTTGTCCACCTCTTTGTGTGCGTCTGTCTGCCTGTTTGCCTACAGGCATGAAGATGGGTGTTTGTTGACGCACACACCCACACACATAGCTAATATACACATATATATATATATCTATGTGTGCACTTTTCCCCTTTTTTTATTCGGTTGTTTATGCAAGGCTACATGCAGAGAGAGAGAGAGAGAGATCTAATTACTTGGAGGTTCTTGGGACTTGATAACCACTTCTAACTGTACTTATAACCCTACTGATAATTGGGATAACCCCTATAAGGCCCTGTAGGGGTATTATCAGTAGGGTTCTAAGTACAGTTTTAATTGGTTAGTAAGTACCATGAACCTTCAAGTACGACCACGTCTCCGTGTGAAATTTGCAGGACAGCAAGGCATCGATGGCGGAGGCTTTGCAGTGAAAGGCCAGGGAGAGGAGTACCTGCAGCTTGGGCCTGTTTGTTTAGGGTTTGGGGTTTAGGGTTTAGGGTTTAGGGTTTAGGGTTTGAGGCTGCTTACGGTTTAGGGTTTAGAGTTTAGGGTACCATACTTACACCAAACATTGTAGGATATTCTTGGGGCCTTCTTACAAGGCCTTTTGGGGTGTCAGAAGGTTTGGAGCTATAGACTACGTAGGTCGAGAACGTGCTCACATTATGGTCTGGGTTCTGAGGGGCTTAGGCAAGGCTCAGGGTTCTTCCTAAACCCTAAACCCCAAACCCTAAACCCTAAACCCTAAACCCTAAACCCCTGGAGCTGTTTCCCTGCCGTGATCCCAGGTATATCCAGTATGAGAGTTTGAAGAGGCCGGGGGGGGCGGGGGGGTAGCATGAGCAGCGTCTCCGAGGGCTACCTGTGGCCACTGTCCATTGTTGATTTAGGGTTTAGGGTTTAGGGTTTAGGGTTTAGGGTTGCGAGATGATCATCTTGTCCTCATGTTTGAGACTGTCCCTGATGATTGGCTTGCTAGAGTATGGGAATCCAGTCAGTAGCACTGGGAGCCTGTGCTTGGGCAGTTTCTGGCAGCACCCATGGGAGTCCGGATGCAAAAAAGGGTTTAGGGTTTAGGGTTTAGGGTTTGGCATCTTCAGATGCTGTTTCATGGCCTTGACCCGCGGGGAGCTACATTGAGAAAATGCCGCGACGCGCGCAGGTCAACGGTTTCCGCGTGAAAGTCGCAAAACCCTAAACCCTAAACCCTAAACAAAAAACCTTAAACCCTAAACCGCGGGTATCAGTGGCCCACGATCACGGTGGGCATGACTGTTTGCCTGAACTTGACGGTATGCACCAACTCCTGCGCGATTTGTAGACAATGGAAGACGCCGAAGAGGGAACGGTGCCAACCAGATTGTAGGCGGCCGCAGCCGCCCACGAAAGAGATGCCGCTGCTGTCCTTAGCGGCGCAGTGACGAACCGCCTCAGCCATTCAGTGCAAATGAAAAGCAAATTCTTTAGGACTCGTCGAGGCACCCCTCCACCTAAGGAGAGAGGAGTGGGAGGAAAAACGAGAAGGAGTCCCATGAAAAGAGAAGTTTCGGCAGCCTTCAAAAGACCGCAGGAGGTCACACGGGACCTCCAAAACCCTCCTCACCCAACCCCACTAGGCCGGGAGAGGAGATGAAACAAGGGGAATGCGGGCAGGCAGCCCGCAAGAGCCTCGGAGCATCCAGCATCATGAGCGTCGAGGCCCAGGCGGCCTCTGCCTTCTGACTGCCAGACAGTCAGCTCTTGCCCTGGCAAACCATGCCAAGATCTCAGCATCTATTCGCTTCCTGCCTTTCACCCCCGAAGGCCATCCCAAACGACGTTGGAGAATGTCGTAGCAAGAACTGCTTGTGAGGCCCGCACGCCTAGGAGACTGAGTGCACAGCCACTCCAACTCCTTATTTGGCATGCTAGGGTACAACAGCTGTGCTGAACCAAGACCTGGAGAGCCCAATAGCCTTCAATTCAGGAGTACACACCTCCTTTCACAACAAAGGTCTCTGCTTTGCGGTTGTGCATGAACGCCTGACCAGGGGTCACCGAGACGATGTTGAATTTGCTCCTTGGCTCCATGGTACTTGGGGACCAAGAATAAGTCCTAAAAATGGGTTCGTAAACTCCATACTACTAGAATCCCTCGTAGGGTAACAACGGAGTCCAATGCCCCTTAGAAAAGAAAGATAGTTTAAGTCATAAACAGGATCTCTATATTCTTCAAAACTCTTCACCCCCCCCCCCCCCCCCAGGCCCAGCACAAGGGTTGAGGGTTTAGGCTTAAGGGTTTAGGTTTTTGTTGCAATGCCAAGGCCGTCACGCCGGGAACCCCCAAGGACGCCAAGGAGGGTGGCCTATTGGTCAGGCGGGGACGCCCTTTGAAGGTAGAGGCCTTTGGGGGTTTAAGTTTAGGGTGCCGGAAGAAATTTTACATTGGTTTTTGAGGGTCTGGACGTGCTGTGGGATCTTTCTAAATTTCGCGTACGTATCTCCTTTCAACTAGGATGCCCAGTAGTACCCTTATTCCCTTTTTGGGGGTTTAGGTTCCCTTATAAACCCCCTTAAGCAAGAAAGGGCACCCTCTTTAAGCCTAGGTTACTGGGCAGCCTAGTTAAGGGAATCTTTTCCTTAGTACCCAATGGCTCCAATGTAGTTCCTTTTTGGGTTAGTTATAGGGGATTCTAGTATACTACCCCAAAAAGGTACTACATAGGAGCCTTTGGGTAATTCTCAAGTGGCTTAACGCACAACTCAGTTTATCTGATTGAGCCCGGGGCCGACCTGGAGGTTCATTAGCAGACTACGGAAACCTTTAGGGGGGGTACAGTAGGTTTGGGGTTCAGGGTTTAGGGTTTAGGGTTTAGGGTTTAGGGTTTGCTAAGACTTTCCGGCCAGGACATCATAGCCCGGATGCAAAAAAGGGTTTAGGATTTAGGGTTTAGGATTTAGGGTTTAGGGGTAGTTTCAGAAGTATTCTTGCACCTCATGATATCGAGTGGGAAGCACCCTGTTGGCGCAGTCAGGAGCTCGAGCCGGCAGGCCGCCACCTTAGAGGAGGGAGAGTTTGGGGTTTAGGGTGTACGGGTTGGGGTGTAGGGTTTGGGGTTTAGGGTTTGGGGTTTAGGGTTTAGGGTTTAGGGTTTGGGGTTTAGGGTTTGGGGTTTAGGGTTTGGGGTTTATAGGGTTTAGGGTTTGGGGTTTAGGGTTTGGGGTTTAGTGTCCGGGTTTGGGGGGGGGGTTGGGTGTTTAGAGGCTTTGGGGGGTTCCGGGTTTGGCGGGTGGGTGGTTTGTTTTTTTGTTTTTGTTTTTTTCTTTTGGGGGAGGGGGTTGGTGTTTGGTGGTTTGGGCGAGGTGCCCGTCCTTGCTGCTGGGACCCGAGAAGGGGGTGGGTAGGCAGACAGGGTGAGCGCACCCTACGATTGGTTACCAGGCCTCCAAAGATGGTCTTGAGGTATTTGAGATGTTCCCCCTTATACTAACAATCCTTAATAGGGATTATAGTGCCCCCTTTTCTAATCCCCATGAGGGACTGTTCGTATAAGGGGGACATGCCAATGTATGGCCCATATGGCATTCTGTCTACTGGGAGACCGCAAGTCGCGTTTCGAGTGGCCCAAGTGGCATTCTTTCTTCAAACCTCCATGGCCTTTAGCCCTGGACCACCACTTGGAGGTTCATGGGTAGTTTTGGGCGGGTTACACGTACCCTAAATAGGGTTCTAAGTATAGTTGCCAGCTATTTGACAACCGTACTTACAAATATTCCCATGAACCTCCAAGCCAGCCCAAGCCCAAGGGCGGGTTCGACTACGGCGTCAATGCGATTCGGCTGAATCGTCTCGCCCAGGACTTCTTTTTGACAAGTTCTAGGTGGGGACCATTTCGCAACCTTTATTCAAAGACCTCAGAGCTTGAATTTCATGTTTATGGAGCCCCCAAATCCGCCCCAGGGATTCTGGGCCCCTCAGAGAAGCCCTAAGCCCGATAAGGCCTCCGCCCCGACACGCCGTGCAATGTGAACCCATGTGGGGGGGGGCAATTGTAAATCGGCAGCCCCCTGGTTCCCTTTTCTCTTTTTGTTGGTCAAGGTTCCCTTATAAAGTAACCAACCCAAGAAAGAGTACCCTTATTCTAGTATGGTTACTGGACCACCAAGAAAT